TTTATACTTATCATACCTTCAAACAATATATTTTGAAGTCTAAACAATAATCTATTGTACGTTGTTTGGTTCAACATAAAAGCAATAATTCTAGTAAAAGATTTTATCAGTCAACAGTCGATTTAAATGATTTTTGGCATGTTATTGTATATAGAACAGCACATTCAATTTATGATTACTTCATGCCTATTACTCATTCATACAATACTAGATTAAATACAAGTGTTAATTTTGCCCTGCCCAAAGCCCGTATTGATTTAGGCAAATATAGAATTTCATTTGTTGGTGCACAATTATGGAATGGTCTTAGTGATTCTATTAAAAATATTATTTGTAGAAAACGATTTGTTGCAGAAGTAAAAAAAAAAATTATTAGATATGTATATTTAAAATTTTGGTTATATTATTTTTATTATGTTTTATATTTATGTATAATTTTCATTCATGTTGTACGTCCGTCCATATTCAACAGATTGTAGTATCCTTGATTTAAATTCCTTAATATTATTTTATCTAGAATGTGTTAAGCATTTGATTAGTTATTTTTGTTAACTAAACCTTACCACCTTTTGTCAATTATTATATAACTACAACTATTCTTGACGTTGAATACTATAGATTAAATTTTAAATTTTATGTGTTCTGTACTCTGTATTTAAAGGGACAGCTGGCCTCTGGGCCATAGACCTGTTTCTTTAGCTGTCCCTTACCATGTTTCTTGGTAAATCAATAAATAAAATAAAATAAATATCTTGAACCGATGCCATTGTAAGGCTACAGTTACTGTAGCCCCTGCCTTACCTCTCGTCCACTCGGCACGTCATGGTCGACATGCAGAGCTGTACAGGGAGAGGGAGCTGAGAGAAAAATAAAAAAGACACGAAATATTGACAGCATTCAACTTTAATTATCAAATAAATAATAGAATGCCTTGTATTTAAAGCTAACTTGCTGGTTGATTCACTAGTAGAGGTGGTAAGAATATGGCTTTTAAACGTTGGGCTAAACTTGCAATATCTGGGTCTTGATGTTCGAATCGTCTTACTTCTTGTGTGAATTTTATAGTACCTATTATATAAAGAATTCAAAATATAAGTTTATAATCAAATTTAAAGTAAAACAATAGATGGTCGTCGTCTAATGAATCAACAGATTATCGCAACCAAAACCACCATCTATCCACCTTCATCACCTAACCATAGAGTAAACATTCTTTACCTTTTCCATAAGCTGTGAATCCATAATTCTGAATAACTTGCTGCTGGATCTGAGTTGCTACGGGAAACACTTTCTGCATCATTTTCATCATGTCATTGCCGGCAGCATCCCGTACCTCTTCCATCTGACTTCTGTTGGCATGGTTGGAAAAAGCCTCAAGGACAGCTGTCGAAATTACTGTAAAAAAGTAACAACGATATATATATTTTTTTTAATTTGGTGGATTTGATACCCAGGCAGGTGGAACCGGTGCTGGCGACAGGATTTGCTCAAAAGTGGGGGCTGATATCCTGTCGCTGATGGGATGAAATGGGCAAGGCTAGAAAGGGCCACGATGTGTATAAGAGACAGTGGTTACCCAATGCATGAATGTAGATATTCTGATTCTGAAACATGGTTGAAGATAGGTGATGATAGTAATGGCCTTCAATTTGCGAATGGATATGAAATATTTCGACGTGACCGACGGTCAAATAAAAACGGAGGAGGGGTTCTGATTGCTGTCAAACCTGACCTTATTATCCGACTTCATTGTTCAAAATGGCCCACAATAACTGTCTATGGAGCTAAAAGATTTCTTTAGAATTGAATTTTTTACCGATTCACACGGCAAAATCACAAATATACGGACTACTGTATGTTAACAAATTCTAACCAAAAAAAATTCTTGCCCAGCTTTTGAAACTTTCATGCAGGCTCCTTGTCCAATGAAAACCTAAAAAAAAAACAAAAAAAAAAAAACCAGCTGATAAAGGCTGTATGAAGTTTGAATTTTTAAGACAAAGCAATTCTTTTTCTCGATCATAAACTTACAGGGGACCCAACTTTAGAAATTTCCAAGGATGTGAATTGTGAAAATCAATGAAAAAAATGATTAAAAGAGGTTAATCTATCGATCTCAAAATAGGGCCCCATCTTATCCAGGTCGATCCGGCACCAGGATATTTTTATAACCCAAAACCGATAAAAGAGGCCATCCTAGAGGAGCAATCTTTTCGCGAATGGTAATGCAAAAAACAAAAATTCTGAATAATATGTGTATAATTTAATAATACAATACAATAAAATATACTTTATTCGCAACTAAAAACAGTTGATTTGCACAAAGATAAGAAATTTAAAAATTTCCTTAAAAGTTAAAAACATCAAAACGGAGACGGTAAACAAAATTACATAAAAGAGCAAAACAGAGAATATTATCATACTTATTATCAAAGTAATAACAATAATTATAACGATATTATGATCATCATCATGATTATTATTATTATTATTATTATTATTGTTTATACAATTATTATATTTATACAATTTATTGTAAAAATTAGAAGATTACAAAAAAAAAAAAAGAGAACCGTTTCGGCCATTGTTGGAGCAGTTCACCCGACTACAGAAAAATATGAGGTTGAAAGAGTCAACCAATGAGAAAGATAGTCTGCAGAATGAGAATCAAAATTCTAATCACGGATCAAATAATGAGACGTGATGTTGAAATTGCAACAAAATAAAGTAATTAAAAAGTATGAAGTTCAACTTTACGACTAAAGGCCAACTGAGACAGCGTCGGCCGACGAAGCCCGACCCGATTTATCGTCGGGGACCGTCTTTAGCCGTCGTGAGAAATATTAAACACGTTTAATATTCTACTACGCGACTGCCCCCGACGCACACAATCGCGTCTGCGTTCAACTCACACAGACCCGACGCGACAACAAATCGCGTCGGACTGCGTCGGCCGACGCTGTCTGAGTTGGCCTTAACGCGACGTTAGTGAGACTCGAACTATAGCTACAATGGTAATAGAGACGTACATAGAGACTCAGCACCATTGCGCGGTATATGAACAGACCCTGCGTAGGTCAGTGTATTTTCAGTTCATAGTAATTTAGTGATTGAAAGCAAAAAATTGTTAATGCATTTCACGGTAATTTTGCGTTTAATCTAGCTGTAGTTGATTTAAACGTTTTAGCAAATGGTTCTCATATCATTAGCGCACTCCGGATCGTCACAACAATTTAATCATTTCTTCATTGGACCATGAAAAACTATTCTGGAAAGTTTGATTTATCTGTTTATAAGTTATTAGAGATAGTTAGGTCTGGGATCCTAGCAATATTAATGACCCTGAAATTCACACCCGAATCGGAATCATCCCTAAGGTTTATAAAATACTTCCTTATAATATAATTAAAGTTTCCAGAAAGTCGAAAACCTACTCCGGATCGTCGCCAACATTTTATCATTTCTTTAGTGGACCATGAAAAACCATTCTGTAAAGTTAAATTTGATCCATGGTCAGTTTTGGAGATATTTAGGTCTAAGACCTTAGCGCTTCAAATGACCCCAAACTTCACACTTTGATCTATATTTATCAAAGTTTGATATTTTCTTCCTTGTAATTTGGTTAACCTTTCCAAAAGGATTCTTTCAGATGAGTTGGTCAGTCTTTGGTATATCTGGTTCCCTATGAATAGTCTTCATATCCACACCCTACTCTGGATCGTCACCAAAATTTAATAATTTTTTATTGAACCATGACAAAAATTCTATAAAGTTTTATTTAGATGCATTCATGAGTTTTCGAAGATATTAAAGTAAGGGACGTTGGAATTTTAAATGACCCTCAAATTCTCACCCACAACTGGATGGTCACCAACATTTAAATTTCTCTTTCTTTGTAACTTGGTTAAACTTTTCCGAAAGTTTCATTCAGAACAGTTGATCTGTTTTTGAAATATCTAATTTGCCATGGGACGTTTTTCTTTGTATGGTCCTCATATCCACACCCTACTCCGGACCGTCACTAAAGTTTAAGCATTTCTTTATTGGGCCATACCTAACATCTGTGCAGCAATTTTTGAGAGATATTTTTAACACACCCCCCCCCCCACACACACACCCACACACGCGCGTGCTCACACACACACGAAATCATGAAAAGGTAACACACACACAAACTCACACGACTGAACATATATATCTCTTGCCGGAGAAGATGATGATAATAATATTAATAATAATAATAATAATAATAATAATAATAATAATATTAATAGTAATAATAATAATAATAATAATAATAATAATAATAATAATAATAATAATACATACATACATACAAACAAATACAGGTTTTTTTTTATTAACTATATTAGTAGAGCTTGTTTTGTATGGTAAGTAACGTTTGCATCTGTCGCTTGCATGTCCTAATCTCGGATATTTAATCCGGGCGTAACAATTTTACCGAATCAGCATGAGCACTAATAATTTTGTTCGCCAAAACTTTCAAATTCTCTGGATTCCAGTAATATTATGCTCGATAAATAAATAATAAATAAATATGTTAACCAATCTCTAGCAGGAAAATTTGGCACCAACAAAAGGAAGTTGGTAGTCAGACTTCTATTTGTATAGTAGTTTACGGTGTTCAGCAAAAGGAGCTCTAGCCCAACTAACAGGTAGATTTATTTCCTTTGCACCAATGTGTACATCATTATAGTTATTTCACACTCCCAGGTACTTAACGCACCTTGAGTTCTACTATACACTCGTCATTTAGTTTGATTATAATGATCTGGATAAATGCCATCTGCTTTTGTTTTTGTTTTGTTTGTTTTTGTGTTTAAATTCAAAATTATGCTCTCAGTCTTCTTTGCAAACCTTCATCCGTATTCAGTGAACACTTGATGCAATATTATAAGTGAATTCTGTAGATCTGTCTGCGACCAACTATGGATACCGATGTCATCGGAATAGCCCCCATCACAGTGATTGTAAATGCCAGTCGATGCACAAATTCCCCTCTGATCCCTATTGGCAGTTTCGTTTGTAACGTTGAATGTAATTTCCAGCATTTTATACCTGTTTTATCACATCTGTCTCGGAAAAAACGAAGAGCATAATCAATGTACAGATTAAATATTAAACATGGCCCTTTATTCCAGTTGTACAGGCTTTCCAGTATATCCAGGTTTGTGGTATTCTGGTTGATTGAAAATCTATTTCTCAGTGATTTAAATAAGAAGTTTCTATTGATATGATCAAAGACAGCACTAAGATCGACATAGCAGGTGAATAGCTTTCTTCCGGAACTCTTGAAGCAGTTTTATTATGAATATACCATAATCACACCTATTGTCTCTTCGGAATACGAATTGAGTTGGTAGAAGCTGTGTTTCATACATCTCCGACGTGAGACGTTTTAAAATTATTGACAATGCTTGGTGAAAAAAAGGATCTATTGATATTCCTCTATACTGAGTGGCATCAAGTGCACTCATTTTCTCTTCCAGATTGGAGTGATCCTATTTATACACCATTCTGTAGGAGTCGCTTTCTTTTTTCAAATGTGTTGAAGGTATTCCCATAGATTTTCCAAAGCAAGTTATTAAAACATGGTCCCGGTTATTTTTTTTTTACCTTTTAGTATCCAGAAAAAATCCTAAAGACGTGACAAGTACATTAATAAAAGAAATGTGTATTTTGAAATCTAAACGGTTTAATCGAAGCAAGCAACAACATACGTTCTCCAACGATTGTCTCCCTCTCCTTAGGAATACTTAATTTGGGGTTTTGACTTATTAAGGAGAGAGGTTTTTCATCTCAATACTAAAATTAGAACCGCTATTACAAGCAACCCGTATACATTTTTACTATAAACATATCATGTGTATGTTGATATTTGTTTGGTTCAACAGTTTAGACCTATCATATCATTTTTATTTTAATTACTATACAAAGAAAATTAATTATTTTGAAATCACTCTTGAGTAATTGTAGAAATATTTAAGTGGCATTGCTTAAAAAAGCCAAATTAAACATAGTGCCAGGACCCTTCAATCACACGTCAATGGTCTAGAAAATTACTTGCGCAGATCCGTATAGTACTGTAGACGTAATTTTTCCTACAGCATCTTTCGAGGGATTTAAATGTTTCCTTAATTTATAGTTCTTAACGTGTATTAATCTAACATCCTAATTTTCTCGCCTCCTTTCTTGGAGGTGTAACTTTCGCTTGCTTTAACTCTAAAGGCTCCAAAATTTCACTACCAAAATGTGGAGTGTTTTTTTTTCGCAAAGCTCAGGTCCAATGCGGCCTGAGGCGGTACGGCAAGCCCGCTCATGACTGACGTTGCGCGTCTTAAACTGTGGTGGTGGACCTTTCCTATCATTCGACACTATTTCTACCCCTCCTATATGTTACGTGATGGCCCGTTTGGCCGCCCATAGTTGTGAGGTCACATTCCTCGTACGTTGAGGTACACTATTGTTGTTCAATAAGATGATGGATGAACAATGAGCTTGTGTGTAGCCTGACTGTATTGTTTACATATGAGTGTCTCCATCACGATACATGGTGGCAACGTGTTGTGGAAATTCCGAAGAACCATTTGCAGTACTATAGGACATACTTTTATAGTGTTTCTACCTTTTGATTTGATGGCAATTTCAAATGTCTGTACACGAAGGTCCAAGCTCGAATCAGGCTGACAGTGACGGTCAACACCAGGCAGCGATTTTTTTTTTCCGTACGAAACATTTGCATGAAACTTCACTCGGGCCATCTCGGATTGAGTACGATACGAGGAACAAGAGCAGACACTTCGCAATGTCGTGACGCTCGAGTTTTACTATTATTGCTCTTTGTATGTTTACCTACGGTAGGCCTATGACATTTCACGGACTTATGTGATGTACGTCACTGTGTAACTAACTGTGACCTTCTTGGATGTTATTAAATGTTAGTATATTATCTACAACAACAACAGCTAGTTCCTCCTGTCATACAGTGTAGATAGGTACAGTTATACCAAAGGCTAGATAGAAAGAGGATAATCTAAGGCCTAACTACAGGCTGAGGTCTTACGGCCCCTCCTTAAACTAGGCCTAGGGTTAGGCTGACACAACAGTCACGCTTCACATACTGACATGGACCAGGCTGACATGGACTGAAATCTTGGGGGGGGGGCATCTAGATGTGTATAAGAGACAGGACGACGGCCTTGCAGTATTCCATAACACCACACCATCCCAAATGGAGCGCATCAAAAAGAGAATATCTGCAACGTTTGAACTTGTCCAAACTATCATTGTAATGTAATTAATGTTAAATAATAATAATAATAAAAATAATAATAATAATAATAATTTCAGCATTCCTTTGGCCTTGTAATGAAGAACCTACAGAAAACTGTACTTTTTACTAGGCCTATAAATAATAATCGCCCAAGGGGAATATCTTTTGTGTTATT